GTTAGAACATGTTTGTAAATACTAAGTACGTCAGGTATGATATTATACGTTTCATGTTTTGACATTATGTTAGATGGTTCTACTCAAATCTCCGCTTGGTTCACGTCAGCTAGTCTCGGCGTGTGCTTGAATGCAATCAAGGAGCATACATTACGTGGCTGGCACAGACTGTAAATAATGCATTGATATTAGAATGACGCGAAACAGCTCTTGATTACACGAAAGTACTATCTGTTCCATGTAGAAACAAAACGGAGACCAAGTGATGCTCTGCTAGCATTGCAACAAATCAGGGAAGGCAGCATCTTGCAGTGAAATTTTCTTATTCTTTGAAATTCTCAGGCCTACAGCGCGCTTGTTCAGGCAATACTGCTTTCTGATAGCAGCACTGAGAAGTATTCTATTTTAAATGTGAATTATTTAAAGTACTTAATATACTTAAAATACTTAATATACTTAAAATACTTAATACTTAAAATACTTAAATGTGAGAAATTTTGAATTACTTCGCGTGTTTTTCCCTCTGGTTTAGTCTCGGGGTTTTGAAGAAAAAAATAAAACTAAAGATTATAACTGTTTATTAGAGGTGAGGCTACAAATTTAAATATAATGAGAAAGCAAATGTAGCGTCATAGGGCTGGGCTTTCATATTAAAAAGGGATGTTGTTGACGAAACATGTTTATTTGTTTTAAAAAATTAAAAAGGTAACTTTCAATGCACTTGTAGAATTTAAAATAAAAATTAAGGACCTTTATTGTCCTTAATTTTTTATATAATTGTCCAAGGAAAATTATTGACATGTTCTTGGAAGAATTTATAACACTTCCTTAAAAACATAATTTGAAGTAATTATGCAATATTCCTTGGCAAGCTTTTCGCTTTCCTTGATAGTCACAAAAACATTACAAAAGGTTTTACTCTCGATAAAGCGAAAACACGGGATCCGGCAAGCACAATCATACTTTTTGGAATATTATTTCATTGTATTACCGAGCTAAGAGGTGCACACGTGTAATTTATTCGTCTAGAATATCAAGTAATTAGTGAAATTTCACTTGCAGTTGCAGATTCTTTACGTTTCTGAACAGGCGGGGTAGTATCGAGAAGCGCTGGAGCAGCAAAATGTAAAAGAATGTTCAAGAATATCTTATCCTGTAAATTACGATACGCGAAGCGTTTCTTTGATGCCCTTGACTTCAAAATCCCAAGATTTAAGACCCTAAAACGCATCGTTTAAGCGTTATTTAACTATTTACACTTTGACAATGTTGTAGAGTGTTACTGGTAGCATTTGACAAGAATAATTAGATGTGCTTCTTTTTAAACAAACCTCAACATTTTTAAAGTCAAAGTGCAATTCGTCACGTCTTCGAGACATTCTTTTTCTTTTGAGTCCTCATTTATCATGATTGGTTGCTGGTGTGGGACGCAAAAGGTATGTATACTACTGAAATAATATCGAAGACGTTAGCTCAGTCGTGTCTGTATTCTAGTGGTGCACATCCCACCTATGACGTCACAGCGTCAACACGGGATGTCGTGGCGGGGGGCGTGGGGCCGCAGTGCAGCGTCGCCGAGCAGGCGGGCGGCGTGAGTGTGCGTGCGTGTGTGTGTGTGGGGAGGGGGAGGTCGTATCTCGTGCTCTATTTGTCCTGCGCCCAAGCAGCATCCGGCTGCGGAAGGGAGCGCCGCGCCGCGAGCGGCAGATGTTTATGGGGCCGGTGACGAATGCTCGTCCGCCAGGCGGGTGAACGGAGCGGCGGGGAGGCAGAGGAAGCGGGGCGTGGACATGGGGCACGAGATGCGGAGCGCAGGAAGCGAAGGCAGCTCGTTTAAGAGAAAGTTAAATTTATTTAATTGGGGATAACCTGGTAGCCGCTAATTGCATAATTAATAGAACTTCTTGAAAATTATATAATAATAATAAAAATAATAATAATAATAATAATAATAACAACAACAACCTAAAAACAGTCGCCCCGTAGTGCAGGCGGTTGTCGCAGCTTGCGCCGAGGGGTCTGCAGGTTCGAGTTCTGCGTAGACATGGCGGTATTTGTGATTGTCCTTTCACCCCTCATTATAATCCTATCATCTCATAATTCACCCTTCACGGTGTAATTAACTTGTCGTACTGAGGAATACAGCTGAAAAGATAATCCTGGAAAAATTACACACGTTAATCGTGTAGTGTAGTCATTAATAGCCTTTACGATAATAATAATAATAATAATAATAATAATAATAATAATAATAATGAAATTAATATAAAAAATGTATACAACATTAAAATACGTTAATAAAAGACATTTCTGTAATATAAGACCGTACTGAATGTTATTTCTTTTTCAAATAAGACCACATTGCACTGTCACTGCACTTCACTTCATTATGATGCTTAAATCACTTCCTTCCAGTCCCGTAGGTGCAAGGATTTTCGTCAATAGCTTGTCAGCTGGATCGTTTTCAGTCGCAATCTAGAGGAGAATTCTGAAATCAATAACAGGCAAATGCCGGAACAGTAGCATAACAAACGGGCCAGCGAAAGCAGGCCACTTTTCCATCTTCTTCATTATCCTATCCCCACCCTTTACTTAGACACAGTGACACTAACGTACACTATACCTTCACACATGTAAGGAGAGCAGTATGGGTATTGTCCGGGCTGGGGTTTCGCCTCGCGTGTGGCAGCTACCTGTGTGGGGGCAAACCCCGCTAGCCGTCTGAAACGTTGGCGCCGTATCTCACTTGCCAGTGGCAAAACGATCTCCGCCTTCTCCCACGATAAAACTCGTAGGTATGAATATTCGAGCAGAAGTATTCTAAATCCAAGTTTGTTGATACCTTACAAGAAGCTAATGAGAAAATAAACATTGAGTTATTCCATGAAACATTCTGGTGTGAACAAACTCTATAAGTCATATTTTACCTGGAGCGAACAGTTGAGGAAGTGAGGAGGTTAGTTTTTTGGTGAGATTCATAATGCTGATCCTACATTATACTCGAATTACGCTCGAAATATCGTAGTGAAGAGCTGCGTTAAAAGATGAACGCCAAAATGAGCTTTGCAAACATTTACACTAAACTTGTTGCCTTATTCTCTATGATATAGCGCCACTACCCCGACATTACCCGTTCAAAAAAGTAAAATAACAACTATGAAAGAAAAATAGTCTCCCAAAATAGATATCTGCATTTCCAACGCATATTTGACTAGGGTTCCTTGGTTCAACACTACCACTAACTCTACAGAACGTACGTGACAGATTCAATGTGTGAATTCTCTATTGCGTGGATGTGATATGCTTGTACTGGTGTGCATAGAAGGGCATGGGGTGTTACGCATCGTCGCGGGTGCCGTGCTGTGCAAAGACGTCCCATGTGTAGTGTGTGTGTGCGGAGGAAGGCATGTGACATCTGCGCAACGGATGGCGGGACGTGTATAAATGTGTGATGTGTGTGTGCTGGCGTATGCAGGAGATCTTGGCGGCTGCGTTTTTTGGCGGTCAGCGTTGAATGTATAGTCGTCCTGTGTGTGATGTAGGTGTATGCTGGTGTCCGCAGGCGGGCATGAGGCAACTGGGCATTGTGGCGGGTGGCAATGCGTGTACAGTCGTTTCGTGTGTGATGTGTGTGTATGTGCTGGGGTGCGCAGAAGGGCAAGGGGTAGCTGCGTATCGTGGCGGGTGGCGGGGCATGTTTAGTCGTCCCGTGTATGATGTGGGTGTGTGCTGGTGTGCACAGGAGAGCATGGGGCAGCTGAACATCGTGACGGGCGGCGTGGCATGTTTAGTATTTCCGTGTGTAATGTGGGTATGTGGTGGTGTGCGCAGGAGGACATGGGGCAGCTGCAGATCGTGGCGGGAGGCGTGGCATGTTTAGTATTTCCGTGTGTAATGTGGATGTGTGCTGGTGTGCGCAGGAGGGCATGGGGCAGCTGCGCATCGTGGCGGGCGGCGTGCAGCTGCGCGGGCAGGCGCTGGTGCTGGACGCGCTGCTCGCCTCGTCCATCCGCTCGCGCTACGGGCAGCCGCTGGTGCTCGAGTCCTCGCGCAACTTCACCGTCAACGCGCGCGGCCCCGACGGACGCGTCGCCGGACGAATCTTCCTGGGTGAGTACGCGCAGATGCGGTAGGGGTGTTCCGTTGGAGATGCCATTTCCAAACAGAAGACTCTCCGTTGTTGTTTTTTTTGGTTTATGTATCACATCGGTTTCATATATTACGAGTAGAAAGTCAAAACCACTGTCTTTTCTTTGTGAAACAAAAGGTATCCGATTTAACACTGTCGAGAAAGGCTTCGTTAATGCATTGCTGTTTATTGGCGATTTTGTGTCAGCAATAACGTCCTGAAAGTGAATGGGGAAAGTCCTGCTTTTAATGTGAATCGAAGCACTAGGGGGTATTTTTAACAATTGCCATTTAGGACGAGGTTTTACTGTTCTTTAAAAATATTGAAATATTTCCGCTCTGCAATTACGAAACCGAATAATTAAGAAAATGTCAAGGAAATGTACTTTGGGCAGCGATAGATGGGATATAGGAGGAGGATGGATTTCGGTGTAGGGAGGGAAAGGAATATTTTGTCGCGTTCCTCATGGGTACATTGTGGGTGAGAAGTGAGTCAGTCGTTTATATCTTTGTCGTTCGGTGTTGTTTTTCGTCCTCTAGGCTAGGTTATGGGAGGAGGGAGTTGCAAGATGCCACGGGGGTGACATCTATAAGTGTGCTGGGGCGATCTCTTAGGATATGGTGGTGGGGTAGAATAAGGTTTCCAAACTGGGTGATGAACTTTTGTAGGGTTTGTACGGAAGAGTTGTAAAGGGGGATGAGGATGTGGGGCCTTTTGTACTTTTGTCGTAGGTCATTAAAGCGGGTTAAGAAGGGGAACGAAGATCAGTCTAATCAGTCGGTTTTCTGTGACAGTTAATTTCCTGTAGTTTATAATGGATATATTGAACCAGGTGGGATGGGCGTAGGGAAGCGTTGGGCGGATGTAGGTATTGTACGTTTGGATTTTCTTTGGGATGGGGATAGTTGGATTTGTCAGGATAGCATACAGGGCGTTAGTGATCCGGTTAGTTTTTATTGTAATGTTTAGGATGTGGTGCGAACTTAGGATCCTGCGGGAAAGAGGCTTACCAAAGAACTTGACATGGGGTTGCCAGGAGATAGGAGTTTGATTTTTGGTCAAATGGGGTGGGTTTGATGGATAGGTTTTATAGGAAAAGAGGATGGCTTGGGAATTTGGAAGGGTTAACGTTGATGTCATTTTGGTAGGCTCAGAGGTGGAGTGAGTCGAGAACTTTTTGACGGTTTCTTAAGGAGCGAGTGCGGTTACGGAAAGGAAGTAAGGAAAGCAAGGATATCACCGAAAAGAAATCTCTCTTTTCGGGGGATGGAAGGGATGTCATTTACGCAAGAAAAAAGGGAGTGTAGAAAGGCCCTGTGGGGTGCCGGCTTAGAAAGGATAGATGGGGGATTTTTTAGTGTAGTATTGGACGCAAAAGGAACTGTGAGTGAGTCAGCTTTGAAGTAGAGAGTTAATGTGGTCAGGGAAGTGGGGGCGGAGTTTAGCTAAAAGGATTGGGTGGGTTATGGTGTAATAAATCCAGAAAAAGATCGATAAAGATTGTGGGGATTTCTTTGCGGTCTTGGAGGGGTTGGCGATGGATAGGGTTAGGTTGAGTGTTTGGAGTGCCGCAGAGCGACCCTCGCGGAAGCCAAATTGGGATTGGGGAAGGATTGAGTCGACAATAAGAGCTAGGATGAGAAGGATTACTTTTTAAAAGATTTTTCTTTGGATGGGTTTATGTGTCCGTCTTCAGTGGAATGCTGGGTTTACGAATCATGGACACACGGACTGTTTTCCAGACAGAAAGGAAGTAAGACTGAAACAGGAGTTGAGGATGAGGGTAAGGTATAGCATCCTTGGGAAGGTTGAGGAGTTGGATGGGGAGAACTCCAGCGGGTCCGGAGGCTTTTGATTGATTTGTCATTGTCATTAGCTAATTTCCGTATCGTTTGTCGTTAACGACATTTGATGATTGAGGGGTAAGATTGGGGGTTCTGGAGGCGTGGAGTAGGGCATTTTGAGGAATTGGGATTTTTGGGGGGCGGAAGCGATTGGCCAGGGTTTGGGCGAAGGTGTCTGCAATTATTTGCGGAACAAAGGGAAGGGAGTTTTGGTTGGTGTAAAGGGAGGAAATTCGAGTTGGGCTATCTCGTACTGCCTTTTTTTATTTTCTGGATATTATTGGGGCTGCTCTTGCCATTAAGTCAGTCATTGTATTTGTTTGTTTCGTAATTCTGTACAAGTGAGTGAACCTGTCTTTGGGTCTGTTTTGAACGATTTTTGTCTTCGACTCTTCTGTGTTTGTAGAATCGATGTTTTATTTGTTTCATCAGTATGGCAGTATTATTTCGCCGGAGATGATAGGGTGTAGTCGCTGGGTGTTGTAGGTGGCGGTTCGTTTTTTGGTCCGACTTATATGATGGTTCTGGTGTTCAATTGATTTGTCTATGGAAGGGATTGTTTGGAGGTTGGCTGGGACACGTAACTTATTGAACAGGATATATTTATTCCAGTTGGTGTTATGGAAGGTTGGGGGTTTTGGGAAAATGTAGGATACGAACGTTGTGGATACGAACGTAAATATTATTAGGACGTGGTCGCAGAAGCTATAGAGGTCATATTTGGGATTGCGTTAGGTGATATGGAGTTTGGAGGAGTGTAGTAGTAAGTCGAGAATATCGGGAGGGTTTTCGTTAACTGTATGAGTGGATTCAGGGGAATCTGTGATGTGGACTTAGCGATTTTTGTTCAGGACGTCATCCAGTGTCAGTCTATTTGTTACTAGTCAAGCAGCTCCATCCGGTTAATTTAGAGTTGACGTCGTTTGCAACGATAAAGGGATGTGGCATGTTGTTAAGAATATTCAAATCAGAAGTAGACAACGAGGAATGGGGTCTTTTGTAGGCTTAGATGATGATTATGGGAGTAGTGGGGGTTCCAAATAGGATGGCAGCACATTCTAGGGCTATGAATTAAGGAAGTTGTTAAGGAGTGTATTGGAGGGATCGTTGGATGGGGATGGCCGTGGCGCCTCACCTTTGATGCAGGCTGTTTGCTTCACACCGCCCCCTCCCTCCGACTTAACTCCAAGCATGTAGCAGCTAATCATGGTTTGGGAAAAAGATTAGAACCAACGAATGTTCTGGGCACGACCTGGCCAGGTGTGTACAATGCATTAGCGATCACTGTTAAATCAACATCCAGCATTCAGTAATAAAAAATTCTTGCTCATATGTTTCATTTAGATGTCTCCGTCTGTTGAAGATATAAAATTTTCAAATTAGTGCATAAGGTGCAAATATGAGTTCACCAGAAATGTGGTTATATACAGAATATCAGGGGAGAAACATCGAAACTTCAAAAATAAGCCCTTAAAACAAGTTTAAACATATTGGAAACCGCTCAATGGAAAAGTCAGGAAAATGATTTCTAGACAAAAATTTGCATTGCAGAAGCATATGAACACACAAGAAAAATTAACTTAGGAATAAACAGACAGTCTATTTGTGTATATTGGGTGCTTTTTTAATTCCAAGTTAAGTTCTCTTTCGGAATTGATGTATTCATTTCTTTGTAAATTTACAAAATTCTGGAGTGTTTATATGCTTTTGCAAATACCCTTCTGCCTAGAAAGCATTTTTTAAACCAACTTTTGCGTGTTTATTGCGGCTCAAGCGGTATTAGGTATATACAACAAGTGTATTAGACAAAATATGCTTAAAATTGACCTAAGAGCTTCGATATTTCCTCCTGAGACATTGTGTTTATCTAACAAGGGGCATTAGAATGTTAAATATTATGGTTTGGCCTACGTTTTAGGATTTAGAGTAGAATACATCGCTTTCTTCCTTATCGCGCGCTTTGCTCCTCAATAATGCACCGCTGGTTGTGTATGGAGGCGCGCGCGGGCGTGCCGCGCAGGCAGAAGCAACGACGGGTGTAGGGGGGGCGGTGGGAGGGGCTTGTCTAATCCACAGCGCGCGCGAGCTGTCGTAAGACGCCGCCGTTTGTTCTCAGGCGCGGGCGGCGCCAGCCCGCCTC